AATGACAATAATTTACAGATTTTATTTTTTCATTCAGTTATAGAACGTCTGTTGTTAAATTCCGTTATTTTATTAAAATAGGCACAACAATCTTGATCAGCTTGTGTTGCATCGGCTTTTGCATATATCTAGGAAAGCTTTGGACTGATTTACCACAAACATATATAGATTCTACATGTCCTTAGTTCTTATAGATCAGTCGACGAATCAATGATGGATGGCAGAAATCACGATCGATTGGCAAGGACAAGTCTTTTTTTTACATCGCTTGCATTGTCTGACCTTTTACTATGCTGTAAAGTATTTTTCTCATCCTATTTTTCATTTGTATATAATTATTTGAAATCAGGTCGAGGTTAAGCCTTACGTCCTGGACAATCAAATGTGTGATGAGTGTCAAGGAGCTCGCTGTGGTGGAAAGTTTGCGCCTTTCTTTTGCGCCAACGTAGCCTGTTTGCAGTATTATTGCGAGCAGTGCTGGGTACAGATACACAGCCGCCACGGTCGAGAATATCACAAGCCTCTTGTAAAGGAGGGTGCTGAACGACCTCGTCCCGCGCTTTATAGGTGGTAATGAAAGTGGCCGTTTCAACAATTCGCGCTTAATTTCCCTTTAATTAAACCATCCAGTTTTTTGCATTCTTTATTTGGATTTAGCTCGATAAATTATCTGCCATATAGACTTGATCGATCTGGTCTCGTCTATCCCCTGTTTTCACATTACTGCTTAACTTTAATTCAGTAAACTTTGTTTTCCTTATATTTTCTTCCTCGTCATCATATTCTTGCATTACTTCATGAGACGATTTTTTAAGTGCGTGTTTCTTCTCACATTACCAAGCTTTTCCTCCCTATTTCTTTATTATATATATATATACTCTTACATATGCATGCATTAATAGCTTTCTTTTTCCCTCATCATACTACCTCGTTTATCAATCTCTCCCAGGCCTCATCACGTGACCTAATTATACAGCCATTTTTATGACTTATCCTTTCTTCCCTGTGATCAGTCTAGAAATGCGATTAAACGGTTTCAACAGCTAGACTGCTCCTAAGCCTTGCCTTTCTTTCCAGGACGTCGCTTAGCTGGTTAGGATAATCACCT